GTCAACCCACAAAAGTCACAGCTGATCATAATAAATGGAAAGAAGGATGACTATAAATCAGGAGTAACAATGAATTAACAAATGATAAAGGATAACCCAAAGAATACACCAGTTAGAATCCTGGAGGTCTGGTATAACAGCTTGGGAAAGAAGGAATACCAGAGATCACTTATCCAACAAAAAGTCAGAAAAACTCAGACACTCATGGGAATGAAGAGAGTAACTGATAAACAAATGCAATATATAATGAATCACGTTTTGTTGCCCTGCATAGAATACCTGTGCAATGACATAATACTAACAGAGAAAGAATACAATCTCCTAATGAGTAGCATAACAACAACATATAAACACAAACTGGGTCTGTTCAAAACCATGCTGAACAACATGTTATATAACAAGTACGAGTATGGTCTCTTTTACATCTGGGACAGACAACTACTCCTACATGCAAGAAATTGGCCAACAAGAATAAACAATAGCAACATAGTAGGAGAAATTGCAAGAGTGAGACTTCAAGAACTACAGAATCAGTTTTGGTCAACCAACAATATATGTAGTTATCTCATCTAACCATTCAGAAGACAAGGGGTAAACCTAACATATGATATTATTTGATTACTAAGAAGACATGATATTATATTCAAAACGCATAAGGAGAATCTTATACCAACTATAATAACAGAAATTAACACTATCATTGAAAATATCGTAAGCAAAGCTTTCTACAATCAAAATTGACACAAATTATAAAAACATGGGCTCCTATTTACAGGACAACTAAAGAATGCAAACAAAACTAAAACCCTGCACTGGTGTCAAATCATCAGGCCCAAAAGAAAACTAGTTTCCGGTTCAACTTCAACCTGGTTTTATATCATAAAAAACCTAATTAACAACCAACTAGAAAGTAACAAACCTGCCTTAATAAAAGAAACCAATACTTTCCTTTAGTGTACCTCAACAACTAATCAAAATATAGCGAAACTTCACTAGATATGTGCTAAACAAGATCAGGAAATCATAATAGAAAAAAAATAGAAAAGGATAAATCAGAATGACACACTCTACAAATACTATATACAAGAAGAAGAGTAATCACAATACAGGCTTGAACTGAATGTTCAAGAAATATATAACAGAACCTGGAACAAGTAACAGAGTATACCTTTATCATAGCAAAACAATAGGCAGTAAACACCCCAGTATACAAAAGCAAGGTATTATGCAAAGAGGCCCCTGCAACAACCCAACAGTCAGCAAGGTAGAGAAACCACATATCCCCTAACTCAATAAATACAGCCCTGGAGAAACTTACTATCAGAGAAAATATGATGCAAGAACAAGAACTCCAAATATACATACCTGAAAAGACAAAGTGACAGCAACATCTCTTTAATACTTCAGACCAGATCTCAGAGCAACTAACAAATATAGCTGTATCACTAGAAAACTATGCAATATTTGATATATATATAGATAAATCACTCACAAAAATTGACAATAGTTTATATATGGGTTTTGAATAGGTCATTATATTCCTGACAAGAAAGAATTCAAATTTTAAGATCAAATCCAAAACCATCAATCATCAATAAGGGTAGAGGTCACAGCTATCCTTATAGCAATTAGCATTGTACTAGAATACAGTAGGACCAGAATCTTTACAGATAGCCAAGCAGCTATAAATGGAATAAACAAAATAATAGGAACTGCAGAAAACAAAATAATAAACACACAAAAAATGCAAACCTCCTTATTCAAGTCAAACATCTATGCAAAAGAAAAAGCATCAAACTGGAGATACTCAAAATAAAAGCACATTCAGGGATAGAATACAATAAACAAGCACAAATAACATAAATTCAAGGTATGAAACTGAGGAAAAAAATATTAGAAATTCACCCATATACATGCAAATATTCAACAATCATTCCACAGTGAAACAATCCAAACCTGGACATCCCACTGAAAGCAACAATACAGCAAATAATCCAAGCAATACACTTAACAAAATAGAGACTTTTGAACAAAACCAGATACAACTTCAATGACCTAATGATCTCACAGATCCACTGGAAAACAATAACCAACTATTTGTAGTACATTAAAATGAACAACAACACAATAAACTGAGAAGATAAAAAATACAGAAGGTTTAGTCTGAACTTGTAGAATAATGAACTGCCAATAAAAAGAAAACTAAACAAAAGATTACCAACAATTTATTAAGACAACAAATGCCTGCAATGTGTAGAAGTCGAGACATGTCCCACCCCTTTATTTGCCAGGAACAAAAAGAAAAAATATGAAACAAAATTAAGGAAATAATAGTAAACAGTATAAATATACACAAGGAACAAAAATCAAAAGAGCACAACAGAAATCCTACGACAGCAGAGTTGAACCTAAACTCTACGCCACATCTTGAAGCTTATATTAGAGGTGCAATCTTCAAAAGAACCTTTTATAAAATCAGGGAAGTAATCACAGAAAAATATATTAAAATCCAATGTTTAATAGACATAAGAACCCAGATAATAAAATATTTCCATGAGATATGGTCTGATAGATGTGAATGGTTCCAAGAATGGAAATACAAAGCAGAAATCATCAGGAAAAAAAAGAGAGCAGCCAAGTACAGTATAACTACTTTAGATGCTTACTTCACAGAAAGAGAGCTCCATATTAAAAGTCAATTTACAAAATTGGTAAATAGCTATATGAATGCTTGGATAAATAATATCGTTGACCCATTTTATATTTTTGAAATTTTTTTTAGCACTAGCCCAGCCTTGGCAAGTTAGCCCTCTAGATAGGATGGCAACAAGCCGCAAGGTAAAAGGCTCCCTAGGGAATACCTTTCTATTGAGTTTTACTTGTAAGTAGATAAATAGTACAAAATAGATTCAAACATGTAATCTCCTAATGTTACTATACATCATAACAAATAAAACAAGGCTGCGCTAGTGGTATAAAAAAAATAGTATTATTAATGTTAAATTGCTAACTCACTAGTCTTAATTTATTATTAAACTTTAAGCATAACTTAGAAAGTAATTTGTCATTCCATTTATAGTTTGAGTTAAAATCTTCCTCTATTATAAATATTATTGTCTTTTATAATAAAATATTAATTGATAATTGATAGAACTTTGAATATATAATTATGGTAATCCTATTTAAATTCAATAATTATTTATTAAATTATAACAACAAATCTTATTTCAAAAACTTTGTATCAAACTATATCCTGTATATTATACAATTTTCAAAAAAAAATTATATATAGTTTTTAAGGTTTTATTAAGTTAAAAAAAAATGACAATAATAAAATTATTTATTTAAAAATTTTTTTTAAAAATGTAAGAATATGTATTATAATATATGTAAATTTTATAATTTTTGACTATATAATTAAATATTTAAAAATTGACAAAGTTGAAATTTATAATAAAAATAGAACAAGTGGACTAAAACTTTTGGAAGCAACCGTATGTACATGGGATCAAGCTTGATTGTTGCATTTAGAGAGATAAAATCTAGCAAATGTATTTAAAGAATATGCACTTAGAGAGAGTTGATTATATCAATAAAGATTTTTACGTTAATAAAAAATATAAACATCACCACTTTCCAGTTCAGTCACGTACAATATATACATTATTTCAAATAAAAAAAAAAAAAATTTTTTTTTAATAAATTTTTTTTTAATTAGGTATTAAGGCCATTGTACTATATCTTATAATAAATAATAATAAAAAGAAAAAATCTCGATCAAAGTAATAATTCGAGGATATATAATTGATTATAAATAATGTAATAAGCAAGACCTCTTTAAATAAAATAAATTTCTTTGTTGTATTTCTTTCTCTTCCCAGAGGTTCATCTCTTACCTCATAAGTAGTATATTAATATCTCAACGAATATTCTGGTGACAATATTTATGATACTGTATACCTATGAAAACAACAAGAAAGCAAAATCGTTTACAGGCAAGTAAGTCTAAAGTTTTGAAACTCGGTTAAAATTAAATTTTTTTTTCTTTTTTTCAGATGCTCATTAAACCACGACATTGGTAAACAAATCTGTCTTCTGGATACTTATTTATTTAGAAACGGTTATAGTTGTATTTTTTTCCGGCGAAATAGTATATAATCGCACGTTGCGTACGATGATCATGTACAGTATATTCACATGCTAACGCGTTCGAGTTATTATCCACGGGCAAATAAACCAAAGGGCTTCTTCATCTTTTGAAACTCAAGGGATTATGTAGTCCAATGACCTCATAATGAATCCACAATATGTACGTATGTACTGTACATACGAAAATTCATTGTAGAAAATTAAAATACTGTACGTCACTTTATAATTTGCGAATGATGTATATCCAGAATTGATTTCTAGTGTAAGTGGATAATACGTCTGTTGAAAGAAATATGAAAGTTGCAGATTTTCACTTATTGTCACTGCATCTAAACTAACAAATTACAATGGTTGAATTTTTTATCGTATATTAACCGTCGAACTTCTTGGGTCTTTTCATCATCCGCGCAGGGACGTTTTAAATATCTCTCTCGACATCTTGCCTTTCGCGCTCTCAAATTCCTTTGTTTTCGCATCGTGTCCTATCATTCTCATTCTCCTTTACTCTCAAAAAAAAAAAAAAAAAAAAATGGATCACACGGAAATCTTGTATGAAGACGAATACTTTGTCGAGAAAATCATATCACATCGAGCGGGGCCGAATGTGAGAATTGCAATTTTGAAGAACAACGTGAATTCATGATGGCAAGAGATGACACATAATTTTAAAAAAAAAATATGCTTTTTACTGATTTCGAACATATTTCGCCTTTCCTGGGTTGATGTTATCGTGATCCAATTCTTCTAATAGGGAGAATATCAATATTTTTTAAAGTGGTTAGGTTACCCCGAAGAAGAGAATACTTGGGAAGATGAAAGCAACATGTAAGTTGGCGAGAGCATGCATCACAATGAACACCGATCCGGTAACTAACGTGAAAGTCTCGGATTTCTCTGTTAATAGCTTCGCCCTGGATCTGCTCCATGAATACTGGGATCGACATGGTGGCAGGCCCGCTTCTTCGGGTCGCAAGTATTTATCCTTGAGCAATCTCAATAGATGCCAGGAGGGCATGCCTCATCATTACAATATCGGTTCGGGAAATCATCGACGTAATGGTAATTCAAAAGATCGAGACTTTATTCTCCATGACAAAAATAAGGTAGTAAGTGTCACTCGTCGTAAGTCAAAAAATAAATGTCACGATAGTGATGACACTACCACAAGGGGAAATCTGAAGAATCGTGGTAGAGTTAAAGACTGGCGTGTAAATTCGAAAACTCGTCGCGATAGTGCGAGGAAGAATGAGAGAGAACAAATTAAATTTTCTGACGCATGCAATACTAATTTCTACTCGCGACTTGACAAAAAGAGGGATGAATCAAATTATAACGTAAAGAAAGACCAAGAGAACGATTGTGATCTCATGGCGATTGACACCGACGATGGTAATAAACCACAAAACCATCTTAGAAATAATGGGGTCAGCTTTCGGGGAGTCGACAACCTGCATACCACGAGGAACCGAAGCAACAAAGATAGCGACAGCGATACCACCAGAAATCCGGGCGACGTTGACAATTCTGACAGCGACGCCAAAGGCGAAAATGAAAGCGCCTCGGGAAAAGTTCCTGATAAGAACTCTGAAATAATTGCTCAAATAGAAAAGACGATGGAAATACTTTGGGATTCCATAAGGTTCAGCGGTTCGTCGAGTGATGAAGAAGAGGATGATTGTGAGGAAGGAAGTCTCGATGGTAAAAGCTATGTGTTGACCAATAGACGAGATGAAGAGGACAGCTGGGAAGGCAAGGTCAAGAGTATCGACTGCATCGAAAAGTACACAGAGTTGGATAAATTATTGGTTTTTATCACTTGGTGAGTTTTAAAGGATTCCGAATTCATTTGAGTTTCCTCTTCCGATCTTTGATTAGTTCATTCTCCTGGTGCATGCAAAAAATTTTTTTCACCGATTAGGAAGGATGGCAAAAGGTCTGCTCACGATTCCGAACTCGCGAACCGAAAGTGTCCTCAAAAGGTATTTGATCAAAATCGTGTTATCCCTCATGCAAATACTCGTGTCATCTTATGCCGATAGTTGCTGTTTCCAACCTCCACATTCCTGTAGATAATCGACTATTATTTGAGCCTTTGGCGACCTTTTCCGCAACCTGAATAGACACGCCCTTCGCATATCTCAAGATCGTCTATTTGGGAAAAATAAAAATAAAAATTTTTTTTTGTAAATTGCCTTTGTTACTTATTGTTCTTCTTCTATTTGCGGAAGAGGATCACGCCTTGCGAATTAAAAGATAAAATGACTCGAAATACCGCTCCTTTATTGCGATTTTTTTTGATACTGTACATGTACGAACAAATTGCACGTGCACTTCAGTAAAGAGACACGACAATTTCAGCCTGAAGGCGATGGAGTATTCAACGACACGGCACGAAACATAGTATAGCCCGAACGCGTCACAAACTTTTCTCACGGAACCAAAGAAAGAAAGAAAGAATGCCGATCCCTATCTCATAAATGCGCACCAATCACGTGACACGTATACTTAATTCGGCCGAGATATCTCACAACGCGCAATACTTTGTATGCGTATATGTCATGACCCTTTTGGAAATATGCACCTCGGCTATTACGTGATCCGCAGAAGGTGACCTTAAAGAGGAAGACAAAAAAAAACACATGATGACCAATAAAAACTGGGAAAGCCGGTACAGGTTTGAAAACATAAACGCGTTTAATGAACTCAAGAACGCCTTCGCGCATTCGATTATGGATTCAAGTAGGGAAACAAGTTTCATGCGTGACATTTCACCATTGTACACAATCAGATTGCCTGTCTTGCAGACAAATCATTTCACCGCGATATAATCGAAACAAATTTGTCTCCAGGCGATTTGAAAGTATGTGATGGCGGAGAGATTATATTGTTCCAAAACACACATGCAAGTGGTATTGAAAATTCAAGCATTCATCGTGAAATATTTTAACGGTTTCACCAATGCCTTTACTCCCATTGGTCAAGGCATGTTACGTGCGCACACGCGTTCTTCGGAAATGGCGAATAAATGCTGTAAGTGAATAATTAAATAAATAAATAAATAATTTTATAATTCTTGCTTACGAATCGATATTCCATAAAGAAATTTACAGAAATCAAGATTTTTACTTCAGTTTGCATTTGCATTTGCATTTGTTTAATCAGGGCACTAATTTTGTATATTCCACAAACGGGATTTGCCGGCTTATCGATCCCGTCTGACCAGTCGGTTGCCGAAAACTTTTGTCGTCCCAAAACCAAATTTGTCATCAACCATCACACCAAATACCGACCTCATCATACAAATGTCCCGTTACCGACGAGGGGACTGGTCACAATCGGTTCTCCAAAAAGGGGAAGGCCGAGGTATTTTTGTTTTGGCGATACATTGCACCATTTTGCTCTTGTCAATTAGTAATAGTCGGACGCCATACGCAAAGAATTGAACTACAGCCATTATTGAGGGATCATGGAATGCGTCGCGGCACTCAACTCTATGCGCCGATCCAATATCGCATTCGCACGCATAGGTACAATCAATTTCCCATTGGGAAATCTGTTTTCCATTCTGCATCTTATCTCCGTTATTTCAATCCCACAATGCTGATGTACCAGATGCCACAAAAATTTTTAAGAAAGGGAGGGAGACGGACCATGATGTGACATTAGTGAATGCCACATTTGTTTTACTGTGTGCTTGCACAAAGAATTGGCAGATCGACTATGGTCAAATTTTTCTTTTCATACGTATGTCGGATAATATTGTGTCGAAACCCAACGGGAAACAAGGAAATATTGTGACTCACAAGAAAGAGAAAAAGGAAAATTTCACATGCGCCTAATTCATTCGATGAAACATCGTTCGAAACAACTCAATTATGCGCGTTGTTTCATGCAAACAAAGCGTCACGACATCGGTGCCTCCAGGTGACCAAAGATTGAGGCCGATACATAATTATCGTCAAACAAACTTCGAGCTTTGTCATTATATCTTGGAAACTTGACGTTTCCCAGTTCGTCATCAATTGAAACGGTAAATCCCGTCGTTGCCATGACACACGATCGTATGAGTATGAGTGTGCATACATTAGGTTGCCATTGGTTCCTAATATTTTCAGGAAAAGAAAAGAATAAGAAGAAAAGGAATTTGAATTGACGAGACCAAAACATCGTCGTTGCTGTATAAAGAAGAAACTGAATGACTTTCACATGCACCCGTCCACCGTGTAACCGATTACGTCGATGGCCATGGGATTCTTTGTTCATACAACTTCCTTAACCGATCCCTTGCACAAGAATGCAAATATCACATTGTCTATTTTCCGCAATGGAAATTATCGATTATAGTGTCGTGCAGACTGGCAAAATCTAAGTCAATAACGAACGCACCTCTTCCCTACGTCATCATCAGTTAATATTCCGTATAATTTAATATTTACTTATTTATTTACTTATCTGCTTTTTTATTTATTTACCCATTATTTATCTACTTAAATACCGTACAATAAAGGTGGCGTGGTTGGAATTTGATGACGTTAGCACATATGCAGGTTGATGTCTCCACTACAAAACCATGATTCACTGCATGCGGATGTCATAAACTTCTTACAAATGAGCATGAGAAAAGGTCAAGAGAAATCCCTGGTGTTCGATGACGTCTTGTTATGCCCTTTGATATGCATGGGTTACCCTACCTACGTTACCCCAAAAAAGTCAAGCCTAATTGAAGTATATTCGCTTCTTGGGGTACGATATATGACTCCCGTATTGGTGCTTCGCACAACTTGATTAATTCGATTTTTAATTGCTGCCAGGATACGATCTGCATGACAATGACTGTATTTTGATCACATGTATCACCTTACACATTGCATTGGGCTTTTGTGCATTAACTTAATCCATACAGTATAAATTATTTCGGTTCTTTGCATGAAGGCAGAACCGACTGTGCACTGCCATTATCGTTTTTCTTTCTCATGGAACCATGACATACTAGGGATTTTTGAACTTGGAGCTCAGCAATCGACCATTCAGTGTTAAACGCAAGTGCCAGAGCGTGCGTGCGCGCGCGCCGCATTCGCTCACACAATTCGTTCGCGTGGCAACAGTGGAGAAAGGAAAGTCGTCTATTCTCGCTTTTCATTCACCCATTCTTTCTTTTTTGAATGAGATTGAAAAAGCAATTCCCCCGTATTTATTTGCACTCGCTAGTTTGAAATTTCACCGGCAAATGAATCATCGTCATGTGTCACCACTGATTTCGAGTTGGACGCGTGGTAGATTCCCAACACACACGAACTTCACACTCCGACTCTATGCTTAGTTTAACAAGAATGAGGCTTAGTAATTGACCTAACTATTTTTGTCCCGTGTTTTTTTTTTTTTTTTTTTTCACGGGATCCAAAATAAATCTCCCAGCACCCTTTATTTATTAATCATTCGGTTCTTTTTTGGAAGTGTATGCGTAACATCCGCCTTCCGGTGATGACGAACATGTAAGATTACGTTTAATTCATCCATAATTATTCGCACGGCGTTTGGATGTGATGAGCGCCGGCGTTTCATATTCAATGTATATTTCAATTAAACGCATACAGTACGTATCATGTACAGTATCTATACAACGTGTAAACAAAGGGGAGGGGCATGGGTAATATAAAAAAGAATGATGCCCACAACCAAAATCCATTCTGGAAATGGCTGCTGGGGTGATCACACAAGTCCAGAAGAACCATCCTGACCATCGCAATCCATTCCATCGTGACTTCGGACAACAACAACAAAAAAAAAAAAAAAAAAACAGACAACCCCAAAAAAGAAAAAACTAAAGATAAAATGAGCTCTCAAGTTGCGCGTGCTAAAAAAATAAAACAATACCACAAAGCCATTAGATATTGTTCCACTTTTGCAGAACAGCAGTGGTCTTCGCCGATGGAACATTGACAGGAATCTGTGACCAGATGGATCCTTGAAATATGACGACTACTTCTGTGATTATTATTGAGTGTAACCCGTCAGTGAACGGGATTGGTCGGTAATTTACTATTCGTATAGGCGGGTGATGATAAAGCGGTGATTTCCTACTATTGGCATCGTTATCATTATAAACATGCAATATATGCGATGAGATGATTGAATAAGGTTTAGGAAATATAAATGGTTGACTCGCATTACTTTTTTAAGTCTGGTTCTCCTCTCGCACCCGCGGAGTTTGTGAATCCACCGATTTTCTTTCTTGATAAACGACCCGACACGAATAAAAAGGAGGAAAGTAAGAGAAAGTTCGCCCCAAGAAAATGTGCATTTCCGTGACAATCGAATAATCCATCGTGGGTATGATGTGATGGGATGTTCGTTGCGTGCTCCTTCTTTTTTTTTTTTTTTGGATGACATCCCACGGTAATAGATCCGAAAGGTTGACCATTGACGGATAGGATGATTCGTCATGTTCTCCGTTCGTTTACTAAATAAAGGACGTGTTAATACGTAATTAATCTGTATGTCATTGTAAGAGAAGATCAACGGGGCGATTATTCCCATTAGTGCTCGGCCTGCACTTCCCCAACAGACTTTCTAATAATAAAACCTCACTTCCCCTTAAAAGGCAAACAAGAGGTATCGAATAAACAATTAGTCACCATAACCGCGATGATACTGTATACTAGAGTTTAACAGTAAAATCACCCATTGTTAACCGATATCATTCGTTCTTTGCATAATTTTCTTTTAATATTCCTTTTGCTACCACATTAATTATTCGACGTTCCAATGAGGCTCTGTAACCGCAAATTTGGTGATGTTAATCCGCTAATCAGTGATGCATCCTGTGTCGTGTGTCATTGATTCGTATTATTCGCATTATTAGTTTTATGCTTAAATTGAAGCTCGGGTATGCGTGCCCTTTTACTTTTGATTCTGTCGTTCTAATATCCGAAAATTTAATTTTGTACGACTTAATTTGTAGGAGGAATCGTTAAAGCTTGGTGCTTCACCTCCGCGATTTCAACAACTGGTTGGATAAATTTTGCGAAACAGACCTCATTTCGGATTACCCGATTGTTTGTCACGTGATCGAACACGATCACGTGACACGAGTTTGTACATTATCTCAATGCATTCTGTTCATTTGTCATTAAAAATTTTTTTTTTTTTTTTTTTTTTTTTTTGAAAATCGTGTGCCCCTTTATATTGTACCTGCCTAACAATGGAAGATTTTCCACTTTATTCGTTAGAAAACAAATTTGTACGTGTCGTGTAACCGACCGCTTAAGCTATTAACCGATATACGTACATTATATGGCGAAGCTAATAACGATTGTTCGTGCTAATATTATTCTCGCGAATTTCATCGCGCATGAACTACGGACTTCCGAATTTTTGTGGTTCTTCTATATTTATCAACGCAGCGCCATCATAAAAAAATACAGTAAATAAATAAAAATGAGGCGGGGCAAATTCGTCATGCAGGGACCAGAGGCAACGTTTGTCGTATGTGTAAGGATGTGCGACTCGCATAAACGTTATCATGAAAGTAGTACTCATCGTGATTTTTCTGTGAGGTGCAACGTCGAGCAAATGCACCTCTTCATTGTTCTATCCACCTGGATAATTATTTTTAAAAGCGGACAGGAATTTTTCGGAAACCGAAAAAGTCATATTCGGTATTTTGTCGCCTTGAAAAATGGTTGTTCACTTTTGACGTACAGTACAGTATACTGCACACCGAGATTTTGTGTTGCTACAATTAGACGCCTCTTTTGCGAGTGTACACACCCCTGAGTCTTTGTTGACTCACTATTTCGGTCACATGATAACACCGGGAACACAAGTTAAATTAAGATTCGTCTCCTGATCTGTGCAAATAATAGTATAATGGTTCTTGTGCAAATTAATCAAAGTTCACGTCAGAATTATAAATTATTAAGGTTGCTTCGTGCAAGACAAATGAGGCACGATTGTGGATGGTGAGCCGTGTACCGTGAACATGCACGAACGAAGATACGACGCATCATGTACCTCATTAAAAATCGGTTTTTATAGATGCTGTACAGCTCTGGATTTCGTGACACACCTACTTTGACGACCACCCCACATTTCGAGGGCCAAGGGAAGCGAGATCCAAAAAGGTAAAAAAAAAAAAAGAAAAGAAAAGAAAAAGGAAGGAAGGAAGGAAGAAAAGGGGGAAAAAAAAAAGAAAAGAAAAGAAAAGAAAAGAAAAAGGAAGGAAGGAAGGAAGGAAGGAAGGAAAAGTGCAGAAAGGAAAGAGAGAAAAGAAAGGAAAAGAAAGGAAAAGGAAAGGAAAAGGAAAGGAAAGAGTGAGAAGAGTGGGTGGAAGAGGGAAGAGAGAAATACGTTTTACAATTGTGGCACCTGTATCATACATCTAAACCACGCATTATTCAGAAGTAAACAAGTAAGTTGCAATGCACCAAAACCTTTGGGCCGAAATCCCAAAATAATGTCTTGCCCACTCGTTATTATTTAAATAAAATCCTTCTCTTTATCTCCGTTGGTTCGGTAGATTTTTAGAAACACATGTACCATCCTTCGGCACCATGTGATTTTATATTTAAAATCTGAAGAAATATCGCTTTTTTTTTTTTTTTTTTTTTAGATTTAAAGAGACACCCGTTCGGTAGACTCGATTAAATAGTCACGTGATATACCACTATCGCAAACATTTTTTTTTACTCATTGTGTCAATCAGGAGGCGATCCGTCCCACATAGGATCAACAAGGGGTCATTTTCATTTTCAGAAACATTACGTACATACTGTATTTCCGTAATCAATTTTTTAAAAAAGGAAATTTTGATATCGGGATTTATGGCGGCATCAGCTCGGTGAATGAGAATAGAATCCGAAATTCGGAATTCTATGATGACCTTGATCACGTATCAAAAAAGGCAAAACATTCCCTGTTTCTCAGGATCCCATTTATAGTCACGAGTTCTAGTTTCATGTGGAAAAAACATTTGCCCGTGTGACGTGCATTTATGTTATCTGGAATTTGAAATTATTATTTTGGGTCAGATTGCTCGGAGCAACGGAAAGGCGGAGCGTACAACGAATATAACGGATGTTCCGATTCGGAAGCATTCAAATTTCCTAAAAAAAGAAACCTTTGACATCCTTGGAGAATGGATAGAATAATAATAACAATCGATGTTACGCTATCCAATGTTCATAGTGACTTTGTCGATCGCCAGTGCGTTCATATACGTGGTTTTGTCACGGTCTGTCAGTTTTCCGAATGGAGGATACTTGATGTTATCACGGTATCGCAAGGTTCATATACTGTATGAAGACTATGACAATTCACTCCCCCGTGTCTCCGTTTCTTCCCCTGTTACACGTTTACGAGGCCAGTGACTTCAATTTTAAGCAGCACTCTCTTCTCGTTCACCCCCGATAACGAATGGAATTCGAAAATTCTACCCACATGATCGCCGACTCGGCCCTATGCATTCGGGTCGAATTATTTCCGTAAGCGGTTTGTCACAGGTATTATTGACCAAATCAATCGACCGATTGATCAACGATGGGATCGACCTCCCTCTATCAATTGTGAGACACTTACTACTATGAGATAACTGGCATCGGGTATCGCTGAACGCACTCGCAGCATTTACCAGGAAATCTTGGTGAGCGGGAAAAGGTGGTGCCGTGATTTTCATGTGCACGGGCAATCTTGTGGCCATCAAACTTTTCCATTAATGGAATTTGGTCATGTCAATTGACTCCATCTAAAGACTCGGTATTCTACTGTACACTATAGTTTCATATCCACAACGGCAACAATGATTGTGTAAACAACGTTTGGAACAATAAGCACAATAACAAACAAATTTATGTCTCTCCAGGATTACATAACGCGGCGTCTGGATTCGGTAAAACATCGATGATTATCAGTTGCACCATGAGGTTGTTTATGCATCAATATCAAAGTGAGATTAACGACACATTGAATTTCACCATACTCGTGTTCATTCACAATCCATCTTCCTCAATGAGCTTGCCGCTTTTTTTTTGAGTGCATGCGCACTCCACTATGATGTATCTGCATTGCATTTTACATGATACCCACCGGTTGTTTCCCAGTTACCCCGCGAATTTATAATGAAGGATTTTGGAATTTTATTATCACGAAGGTTGCTATGTAAGAAAAAAAGAAAGAAAATATGCTTGTAAATTTTATCTTTTGTTTTTTGGTGAAACGGAAACGAAACTGAAGCTTGCGAAAAATGATTGAAATGAAAAAGATTAAGTGTAAGAGTGTAGGAATGCATAATGGAACATATTAAAACGTAAGAATTTACTTTTGCTAATAAAGGGAAGCCTTAAATAAAAAAAAAAAAAAGAAAAGAAAAAAGAAAAATAGAAGAAAAAGTCCTTAATGAAAAATCTAATTATTCATATTGCAAAGATCCATAAGAATTATGCGATCAACGGATGATTATTTTACATTGGTCTAAAAATTAAGATGTGCAAAGTCGGTTCACGAATGAGCGCACTTCGACTTTTTTTTTTTTTTTTTTGTTTTTGTTTTTGTTTGTTGCATATTCAGCAATCGAATATTATTAAGTATTATAATGAATTACTATAAAATAAAATCGATTAATGAATTAGATTAATAACATAAAAAATTAAAATAAAATAAAAATCGGTTCTCCAGTCATTTTTTTTTCCCGCAAAATTAAACAAAAAGAGTTTCATTCACGGGATTGGATCTTTTGGAAAACCAGATTTTTCCGCGTTTTCCTTTTGTAAGGAGAAACCTATAAATTTGGAAACATGATTAATGCAAACAACAACAACAACAACAAAAAAAAAAAATTTTTTTTCACATCGCACACGCACTTTGAGACATAAAAATTTTTGATTGGTAGATTTTGTGCCAATTATAATTCCTTTTACGATCGACGTGAAAAAAAAAATGATAGTAAGAGATCGGTGATGGAGGAAAGAAGAGAAAAAAGGTTATGTCTAATACCAATGGAATTGGGTCGGAGATTTCCGACCAATTCCACCAAATTCGTTCGACGAAGAAATGTGATGATTATTCCTTTGATTATCAATTAGCATCGTGACGGGATTTTCTGATGTTGAAATTAGTGTCGGAGCGCTAAAGTTGCCACCATTATTGTTCACTCCGCTGACTGATGTCATCCCTGTCATCGAGGACAGCCCGTCTTGCATTTCCGGCCCCGTGACGTAATTCCTAATGTTGTTGCTCGGAGGACTCGTGGCGTTGGAGGCCAAGTAGTATTGTGTCGGCTGGGATGAGTGTTGAGGGTATGGCAGGGTGTTGGGAAAGAATATCGAGGTCGGTGTTGAACTCGTGGCATTCACAAGGGGTGGCAACGACGACGACTTGGGCGTCATGGTCATTGACGACGTCGTGTTTTGCGTTCTGTTGACATTCATTGATGCGGTCGGTGAACCTTGGGAATTTCCCAACACCAATAGTGTCGACGTCTCCGCGGACGTGGGTGACATCAATGCACTGTGGGAGGGAATGTGATGATTTTGCGGTTGGGAGGGTTGCAATTGTGCATCCGATTGCGGCCAGTAATAGTAAGAACTGTTCACGCTTGATCCATCGCCGCCATTATTCTGTCGCGAATGCGAAGACGGACGCGATTTGTTCTGTGGAAGTTGACCATACTGCGATGAAGCGTAGTTATCCGACGACAGCGAAGAATTTCCGTGAGGACTAATGGTGGAATCAGTTTTATTGGAGTTCACTACCGGCGGAAGGTCCAGCGGCGACAGGGATGAATGCGATGAGGAGAAAACCGATTGATTCGGAGTTGAATGATGCTGTATCCATGGTAGGCTCGTTGATCTCTGTGAAGCCGTCTGTTCAAACGTACTGATGCCAGGTCGTGTCGAATGCGGACCAGGAAAACTCTTGTTTCCACCATCCCCAACGCCGCCATGGTCATCCTCACTGCCGTTGTGTCGGACCTCTCTCACACCCGACGACGTTCTCGCGCTGCCAGCGATTAGATTCAATGCATCTTTAGCAACATGCATAGACTGTTCATCGGAATCCGATATTGTTTCCAGTTGTAAAGCAAAAAGTGCAATTGCATTTTTTATTCCATGATGTATATTATACAAAGATGGTAAGGAAAGTACACTTTTAAACATTCCAACTATTTTACAAATGTTGTTCTTGGCGTTGACTGAGCGTTGAGAATTTTTGAGGTCAAATATATGGATACATCCTGCGCACAAGGCACAATAAACTATGAATTGATTGCTATTAATGACTCCAATAAAATTTTCGCTCACGAGGGTCGTAATCTTGTTGGCAGCTTGCGTACAAGCCTCCAAACCATTGTCCGAATAAATCTTTTGATGATGAATTCTGATTAATGCATAGTTGTAGAGAATGCATAGATAAACTCTCAGGTGTTCGACGGTCGTTTCCTCTGATGTGGTCGTCAGTGGTTTGACTTCCTCGAATTTTAAGAAGGGGGGTAGATCATTTTTCCACTCGTCGAGCCGCCCCTCTAAATGTGAAATGGAACTCTGATCTTCTGTCATGGAGATTTCTAATATATCATACATGATCTTTGTAATTCTCGAGTATTGCACAAAGTACCTGACGATTTTGGACTCAGACTCGTCACACGAAGTCGGATCAGGATACTCAATTGTGCAATGCTTTTCCCCAAGCAGGAATGGTCTATTTAGAATTATACATTCTAGGTGGCCGACAATTGAAATCCCCCACCATATCTTTATCATCGGTTTTTCGAAAGCAAAAAAAAAGAAGAAGAAGGAAGGAGGGAAGGGAAGGGAAGGGAAGAAAGAAAGAAGAAAGAAAGAAGAGATGAAAGAAGGGTTAGCGTGAGAAAAATTTTTTGCCCAAATGATGACGACCCCAAAAGTACCCTTTTTCTTGCTTCTTTTTTATTAGTGGGAAATCCCTCGGACGCATTTTTGTCATGCAATCCCATCGTAATGGCAAAGGTGGTGGCCATACCAATAAAAATTCTGCCTTTAAGAAGATGCAACGAACCGAATACACCCAACAGGAATAGAGCAGTGGCCGTGCTCAACCTGGCCATGTCGAGCGATTGATCGACCATACCTATGTCGTAATTGCATAGTCAGTTTTGGTCGCATACGTTTTCCTTTTGGCCCATGTTCACTCTTTTATTCCCCCTGTTCAATTATATGGGATACTCTCGGATTTTATTCGGAGTGTTACAATACCTTGTGCGTGCTCATAGAAAGATAGGCCGCGATCTTTTCGTGCGTCGTCGTCACTCAAATAATTAGAACCGATTGCGCATATGGCATATAATAAAAGACGTGGCAGGGTTTTGGCAGGATTCCTAAAGTTTTCCATGAAGTATTCTTTGTGCACGACCGGTAAAAGCGGATGAAAATTTCTAAAATAAAGGTCAACAAGAATTTCGGTCAGTCGGCTGTCATTCACTTGTGTAACATTCTGCGCGAATAGTGATCGTTGGGCGACAGCTATTGACTTTTCTTGTCGAGGAGGCAGGCAGCTTTGAAGTTTTTGGCGAACTTCGGCTTCGTTTTGCAGAGTCATCGATGTAAACAGCTTGATTAAATATTCAAGTTCATTATCCAACGCAGGTAAGGGTTTCGGAATTATTCTTGCGGGGGCGGAAGTAGAAAACGAAGATATTCTATTGACTCTGGGATTATGCGGACGAGAATTTGTTCTTCGTTGTCGAGAGGTGTTGGTATTGTTGGTGGATAGTTGAGTGCTCGAGGTGGTTGAAGTTCGGGCGGGATTGCGATTGTTGGTTGATTGATCTGATCCGTCGGCCGAGGGAGTCAAAGTATGATCATTTTCACCAGGGGTTCGACCAGGACCAGGCTGACGACTATTATAGGTGCACTCTAAATTGACCGAGGTGCAGTATTTACACGGGAGCTTGTTGTGACCGTCTCCGTCACATCTAACCTGAATTCAGGGGAGATTGTTAGTTGTGCACTGTGAAGTGAAGAAGAAAACGAAGAATAATTTAATGAACAGTTGATATGAACCTTTCTGCGCCTGCACCGGTCACAAGCTATCGTCTTCGGTCTCTTGTCTCGTATTGGGGCATCTGACGGTCCAGGTCGCTTCCCTCCATTTTCTCCAGAGGGAGCTACGGTTGAAGCCATCAAATCCAAGGAAGGATATCGTTGAAAAAAATGGTACTTGGGAAAAAAAAATAATCAAGAAAAAAAAAAAAAAAAGAAAAGGGAAATATGGAAGAAAAAAAAAAATGTATGAAGGTAACGAAGCGATGTTTATGCTCAGTTCTGGTTAATTGAAAATTTGTCAATATATATAAGTCATATATTGTAAAAAAGGTGATCCGATTTATATCACGTCACAATCACCGTGACAAATTTCATGCTTATTTTAAACAACACCAATTAAAATCTCTAGAAAGTATATACTGTATATATATATATACTATATATATACAGTATATACAGTATATACATATATTCATAAGCATATACAGTACATTGATCGTAGATGGTTATGCGTAAAATTGACGTTTAAATTATAAAACTTTTTTCAAATGCCCAAATGGCTAAACAACATACAAACATGTGGAATATTTATGTAAATAGTGAATTTAACACACTTAGTAGCGGAATGTAAAAAAGCTTATTTTAAGTTTTGATTCATTAACATGCACTATCGACGATGATGTTATACAGAGATGGTGTATATTTATATCTATGAATAAGATAATTAACTGTATAAAGGACAATATTTAGCTGATGGACGTGGCGCGTAGTTTTCTAAGAATGCACTTCCCCATAACCTAGGCCCGTTGTGCGACAGCTCGATCAAATATGCGCTCATATTCGATCGACATATTTCCTAATTCAATGAATCTTTTTCAACATTTTAACATATCAAAATTACATACTGCGCCTCGACTGTTTACACTGTATGCGCTTTAATCAAAAAAAAAAAAAAAAATAGTTTTCTCTGCACATGATCATTTATCTTAACAAAAAATTGCGTCCTATCCAGATTCCTTTGGTAGTTCATAAAAGACAAATCAGATTGTTACGTGTTAAATGTGCGTTAAATAATCTTGGAGTTCATTAGTTCGACGAAATCGTGCGCACTTGTGACAGGTTGAAGTACCAACCATCAATTAAAATTATGTACGAATAGAATTCCTTTTTAATATAATTTTCTACACGCAAATCTAGTTATTTAAAAACACATGATTATTATTAAAAAAAAAAGAATTCCTTTTCTTATTAAACCCCTCTCTACTGAGCACTCTCGTCCAATAAATAAGAATTCCGGAGTAGTAATGTAATTTAAGTCTCAACTGTAATCTTTTTAATTTAGCCATAAAAAAAGACACTGTAATTCTAAATAACATGCGCACAAAAATGACTGTTGTTTCTCTTTTCCTCATTTGTTTTCGCGTTACAACAGTCACAGAATATTATTTGTTTATTTATTATTTGTCGTTGAGTTAACTTCTGTTAGAATTATTTCAAAGGGAATTCAATTCATTTGACCTAAGAGAGGAACGCATAACGTATTAAAAGTGTTGTACGTGCTTACCGTATAAAAGAAATTGTCTAGAACTATAGTGACACGATTTTTTTTAATATTGTGCATACTGTATGTGCATGTATTATGAATACAGTATATGGCATAAAATTTCCATTTAAACATCATAAACATAATTGATCAAATGAGAAATTCAACATTAAATACCATGCATCTTAGTTATATTATACCGACGAATGATATTTTTATGGATTTCATTTATTTATTTATTATATTTTTTGTTTGCTTTTACCGTCAGTTAGAAATTTGCAAAGAAAAGGGGGGTTTTTTTTTGATTTTGTAACATTTTGCAAATAAAACCTCTCTTGGCATAGTTATCTAGTATCTAGTTTGTGTAATCTATTAATTTTTAAATTACAAAGATCCTTTGGCACAGCCTGATGCAAAATAATTAAATACTATTTTTACTATTAATAAAACTTTTTAATTAATAAATGCAATAAATGATGGATTTTCTCAAATTCTTATTATTATTATTAAATTTAAATACTTTATTTTCTAAAACAATATTTTCACATTCTCCAAATCGAATAAATAACATTTTATATATACAGTATCTATATCTACATCTAATTTGTATTATATGTTTATGTTTGTTTTGTTTACAAAAATGTGTTAAGTACACAATTACGCAAAATAGACTTATTAAGAAATTATGAATTTACCAATCTGAAAATATTAGTATCATCAATTTTGATAGGTTAATTATTGCCGCGTCCCCAAATTTTATTACTCAAACATAATGTTAACATAAAAGCCAAACATTAATGCAATAAAGGAATCATAATACAAGAGTATAATAAATTTTGAATTTAAGCAAGATTCAATAAGATTCTTATCTCTTTTAATCAACATATTAAAACTATAATTATACTAGTATTATATACTATAAATTAAAAATGTCTAAATTTGAAAATTTTTATATTTTTGAATCATACATAAATACCGTATAATGAATTAACATATTCAAGTTTATAAAAATTCGTTTAACCCAAATTCAACTTTAAATATAAATGCTTGAATACCTAAAGATTGATTTTATGTAAGATTCTTTTATAATTTTTGTTACTCTCGTCATTTTGTATTTTTATTTTAATTCAAAAATTTTATATCATACTCAATATATTATTAATATTTATAAATTTATTTTTAAATATGTTTTTATAAGTAATTTTTTTTTAAAAAATAATATTCAGCTTACAACTTTTATTTAACTTAATATATAAAATTAAAAAAAAAATAATTTTTCAAAAAAAAAAATATCAAATAAATAATTAAAAATTATTTTATTTAATTAAAATATGTATGTTTATTATTAATTTTTTATATTTTTAAATGACCAAATTTTATAAATATAATAAAAATGATTTTTTTTTAAAAAAAATTTTTTATTTGATTTTTTTATTATATATTTATATTACTTTTATATCTATTTTTATATTATAAAAATTTTAATTAAAGTTTTTTACATATTTTACTTAACTCTATAATAAGAATATTATTATTATTTATTAATTTTTAAAACAAATATAAAATTAATCATTTTTGTTAAAATAATTTTATTTTTCCTATATCTTTTTTAATTATCTTTATAAAACAATATAAAAAAAAACAAATAAATCATATACAATTTAAATAAATTAATTAATATATTATTTTTATTTTTATTATATTTTTTATATTGTACTAAATTTTATATTTTAAAATTTAAATTATAATAAACAATAATATTTGATTGGTTTTTAATGTTTTTATATTAAATTCTCTATATTTTGATTTTTATTTGAACTATAAATTAGTAAAAATAAATAACAAGTTTTATTATTTAACATAATATTTTAAAAATAATTAATTTATATTTAATATTTTTTGAATCAAATTAAAATTATTAAAATTATTATTAATTAATATATATATTCAAATTAAATTATAATTTATTAATCAATTGAAAATATAAATATACTTTTATTTAAGTAGTATAATATATATTAGAATTAAACTTTTTTAATTAAATTTAATTAACTAATTATAAGTAATAATAGTTTTTAAATCCAATATTTTATTCTATAGTTAAAAATATGTTTTTAAAAAGAAAAATAAATATTTTTTATTAAAAATTTTATAGTTAAAAATAAGCTTTTAAAAAAAGAAATAAAAACAAAAATTAAATATTTTTTACTAAAAAGTTTTAAAAATTTTAAATTAATAACTATAAAAAAACTATATACAATAATTCTCAATTGTTTAAAATATTAATTTATAATATTTTTTAAATTTTATTTCTATTAAAATTTAAAAAAAAAATAAATAAATAATTTATAAAATTTTATATATTGAATATTTTAAAATTTTATTATTATTTATATTAAACTTTAAATAAATTCTTTTCTAATTTATATATTATTATTATTAGTTTATTATTATTATTAATTAAAATTATGTTATTTGGCAATCAAATTATTGCTGAATTTAACAAAATATAATAATAATAAGATTGATGATCTATAAGTAAATAGTGTAATATTTAGTACTCTATAGATCATATTATAAGATTTTAATTCAAGTTCTTCAAGTAATAAATTTATAAAAAATTCTATCAATTCTTGTCAAAGACAGAAATCTATTAATATAACCTGTAAATCTGATATCACTTATAACTAATCATTATTCTAATCAGGCAGGTCTATAAATAAATAATATTATATTATATTTCTATATTACAAATTTGATATTATAGAGTTTACAACTGAAAAAATCTAATTTGTGCCTATCAAGTCTATAGATTCTTAACTGATCAAGAATAGATTCTGAACTTAAAAAATTAAAAAATTCTAAAAAAAAGAATAAAATTCTACATTGATAGTATGTATAAAAACATATGGTATTAAAAAAAGATATCAACAATATCTAAAAACCTTAATGAAAGAAGAAATTTATACATCTTACTCAAATATCTAAAATCTCTGGTACGGATTAAAGATAATACAATAGTTTAATAACTAGATTATTTTATAAAAATATTTTAGGAAAAATGAAGATAATATTACATGTCTTACTCACATTAATGAATAATCCTATATATAATATATATAATAATCTTTTTGCTAGCTCAACCTTCAGTTGATCTTTATTTAATATTTACTCAAATATTACAAAATCCTATCTATTTTAGAGCTAACTAGGAATCAAACTATACTAGCGTGTATATTGGGATTACTAGAAAAGATACCTTCTGATTTGAATCTCCAATGGATCTCTATGGCTTGTTGCATTCCTTTCAAAAAACTAACTTGCCTAGGCTGAGTTGGTGACATTTTTCTTGGTTGTTCATAAGAAAAGGAATTTGAAAATTTTTATTTTTTTCAGTTCAAACCAAATATATTTACTAGTTTCCTTAGACAGATGTTTTGCATGTTTTGGCTCTATTTGCCTCTTATTCTTTTCTCAGTCTTTGAGATCCCTTGAGATGTTTCCTATTCTCCTATTGCTTCATATCTTTGTAACCAGGTTTTTCTTGCAAGGTTCTATATTTCTTCAAAATAACCCAGAAGGGTGGGCTTGATCT